TTGCCATTATAAGAAAAACACAGCAACAATCCTGAATCCCTCAGAAAAACTTGCGTAAAAGTATAGTTTAGGGTACCCCTTGGCAAAACTTGGTGGTACATGGATACCGATTTTGTGCAATTCTTTGACTTGTTATTTTGGCTTGTGTAGCGGCGATTTTTGCACCAAATATCGCTGCTACACAAAGCCAAAATAACAAGACAAACAATTGCACAAACTCGGTATCCATGTACACATTGACTTATTTTCACTTAAAAAAAATCCCCGAATTGCACAAAAATGAAATAGCGCACTCCTTTGACTTTATCCATGTACACGTCGACATATTTTCACTTAAAAAATATCCCAGAATTGCACAAACTTGCTTTGCACACTCCCTTTACTTTGACCATGTACACATCGATATATTTTCACTTAAAAAGTCAAAGGAGCACCAAATTCTACAATATAGGCAAACAAAAATACATAATCTCAATAAAATACATTTTAAACCAAACATAAAATAACATAAAAAAGGAAAAACGTTATACATTTAAGCACTACCAAAAGCAAATATTCACTTACCATGATTTTTCGAGTTCGCTTCGTACACCCAGAGCCACGTAAAATCAAATATCAATCATACTCAAATGACTTTTTTTAAAGCAGGTACACTTTCTGATTGAACCTTCACATAGTTACCACATATGATCTTTCTTCCTACAAACCCATTCAAATCCATCTAAAAAACGGTTTTTACGTTCGACTAGATGCATATGCTCCTAAATACAGGACACTTATCATGGCTACTAAGTAAACCTTCATTTACAACACCAGTCATTAAAGCTCTCTTTCCCCTTTCGCTCCAAATCGTACAGAAACTTCAAATTAAATCTTACAAAATTTCGGTCATTTCTACTGTCTAAAGAATAATACCAACACACACCACAAAAACGCTTACAAAACATCCCATGATTCAAAATTTCCCAGAATCATACACCTGATTACATCACAATAGGGTTTCCATAACATTCAACTACTCAGGCTACCATAAATGAAACAACAACTTGGCGATAAATCAAACAACAACGTCACCATAATACAAGCGGTACTTTAAAGTCTACTCTACCCACAACTTTCTTTCGATTCTTTGAACCACGTATTTAATTTTTTTCCCCTTTTATGATAATAAATGGCTCTTTTTTTTTTTTTTTTTTTTTTTTTTTTTTTTTTTTGTTTTTTTTTTTTTTTTTTTTTTTTTTTTTTTTTTTTTTTTTTTTTTTTTTTTTTTTTTTTTTTTTTTTTTTTTTTTTTTTTTTTTTTTTTTTTTTTTTTTTTTTTTTTTTTTTTTTTTTTTTTTTTTTTTTGTTTTTTTTTTTTTTTTTTTTTTTTTTTTTTTTTTTTTTTTTTTTTTTTTTTTTTTTTTTTTTTTTTTTTTTTTTTTTTTGTTTTTTTTTTTCTTTTTTTTTTTTTTTTTATTTTTTTTTTTTTGTTTTTTTTTTTTTTTTTTTTTTTTTTTTTTTTTTTTTTTTTTTTTTTTTTTTTTTTTTTTTTTTTTTTTTTTTTTTTTTTTTTTTTTTTTTTTCTTTTTTTTTTTTTTTTTTTTTTTTTTTTTTTGTTTTGTTTTTTTTTTTTTGTTTTTTTTTTTTTTTTTTTTTTTTTTTTTTTTTTTTTTTTTTTTTTTTTTTTTTTTTTTTTTTTTTTTTTTTTTTTTTTTTTCTTTTTTTTTTTTTTTTTTTTTTTTTTTTTTTTTTTTTTCTTTTTTTTTTTTTTTTTTTTTTTATTTTTTTTTTTTTTTTTTTATTTTTTTTTTTTTTTTTTTTTTTTTTTTTTTTTTTTTTTTTTTATTTTTTTTTTTTTTTTTTTTTTTTTTTTGTTTTTTTTTTTTTTTTTCTTTTTTTTTTTTTTTTTTATTTTTTTTTTTTTTTTTTTTTTTTTTTTTTTTTTTTTTTTTTTTTTTTTTTTTTTTTTTGTTTTTTTTTGGTTTTTACATTTTTTTTTTTTTTTTTTTTTTTTATGCTTCACTAGTGATATCCAATTTGTTTTTCATTTTTTTTTTTTTTTTGTTTGTTTGTTTTTACTAAACTTGATAACATGTTTCTCAGAAATCTAATTTTTTGGATTCCTAGCATTTTTTTTTTTTTTTTTTTTTTTTTGTTTTTTACTTTTTTTTTTTTTTTTTTTTTTTTTTTTTTTTTTTTTTTTTTTTTTTTTTGTTTTTTGTTTTTTTTTTAAAATAAAACATTGCAAATTGTTTTTAAGAGTCAATTTATCATAGTGGAAGCATTAATTTGTATGATTTATATATAATGTTATATATTTTGTTATAAATTCTTATTTTTTTATTACGGTCTAAAAAGTTTAGCTGTTTTGAATAACCTTCACTGAGTATTATTACTTTTTAATAGTTATGTTGATATAAAGTTGACTTTTTATGCAATTTCTACATTACTTAAACATTTTAATCTACAGAAATCTGAATTTTTTGTAATAAAATAATTCTATAATAAAAATAAGAGTACAATTTATATATAAAAATTTGACTATATGGCAAGCACTTAGATACCAATTTCAATGTCTTTAAATGTAATTATTATAAAGTTTAGATATATTTTTATTAAAATATACTCTTATTCTATTATAAAATTTAAATGTACTGAACAGAAGGCACACTTTGTGCTTACAACTCAGTCAACCACTTGTGGCAAGATAACTTATGATAACAATTAAGTTCAAATGTAGAATTTAAATTCAAATAAACTTGTAGCCAAAGGCTACAATTTAATGCAAAGTTGGTTCAAAACTTAACCGGCATGGAATTCAACTATCAGCAATTATAATGCAAGACTGAAGACTACAAATCTTATCTAGCAACCTAGTAACGTAGCCTCAAAAGGCAAAACATGGTTTGTTTTACAAACTAAAAACTTCATTTGGATTTTGGTAGGAAAACGAATGGGGAAAATGACAGTAATGATCCCAAACATAAAAAAACTATGATTACAAAATAAAAGAATGTTGCATTATACTTTGTTTCCTGATTAATTATTCACTACAAGAAATACTGTAATGCATTTTTGTTTGCATCATATACATATTATTTATTTTATTTAAATGTTTGCATCATATACAAATTATTTAATTTAATATTTTCCGAAACTGAACAGGATTTTGCATACATATTGATCATATTTTTCGATCTATAGATGCAACACCTAAGTAAGATTTAGAAATAAGAAGAGTATTTATGAATAGAAAATAAATATATATGCTGGCCAGCAGAAGGACATTTTAAGAGAAACCGGCTCAGATTCACATTGCATGTAAGGAAAACCACAAAAACTCCCATATAGGAGCCTGAACTACCACTGTTCAGTGGCTTATCACTCCAAATCATCAGTTATGATGATTGTTGTTGTGTACAATTACCATTGGTACAAAATTTACTCATTATGGTAATTTAATTTTAGCTTTTAAATTATAATCATAAATTACTTGTTATAAATTGAGTGATTAAAAAATACACACTTCTTAATATTTTTACCATTTACAAAATTTAATCATAAAAAGTATTTCTAATAGTGGTACAAAATTTACTTGTTATAATTTAATTTGATTTCGTTCACTTTGATTTTTTTTTTTTAATTTTCTTTTAATAACAGAATCTAAGAAACTAAACTAACATATACTAGTTTGAAATGAATTTGTTAACCTTTTGTAAATTTCATTATTCATAACATAAAAATTAACCTTTTGTAAATTAAAAATATTAGCTAAATACTAATATAATGTAAATATTAAATGGAAATTAGAGAAAGACTGTTTATTCTAATCAAGAGCTTATTTTTTAAGATTGTTATTTAGTCTATATTGGGTTTTGTTGACAATCCGCCACTTTTTTACGATTTTCAAAGCCGGGTCTACTTTGGCGACCGAAGTTTGTTGCCAAAAGGGAAGCACTTCCGCAGAGAACCCGGTAAATGTACGCATCGCCAACTTTGGCGATAATAGTTCAAACATGGTAAACTATCGGATTCATCCTATTCGCTTGTTCGAAGGTTATAACCATTCCTCTTGATGTTCATTTTGTTGAATTATCACGTCGTTGTTTGCATTTGCCGATTTATAATCTATTCACTTATTTATTAGTATTTTTCGTATTTTCACAAGTTATTTTTATGGATTTTTGACAATAGATACATAGAAATATTTTCATATAATAAAGGAAGTTTTCGTCGATAGATGCCGGTTCTCGGCTCCAATTTTTATGGCTAAATTTTAACAAGAAACTATATTGTTAATGCTTTTTTAATAATAACCTTTTCGAGGATGGCAGGTGTGACATAAATAACTGATTAAATGGAAATAAAAAATATTATTGATTATCTAAGACGACAGAGTAATTTGATGCATCCCCATGGTCATCAAAATTAGCAAACCACTGTTGGTGTAAGGAATACAGTTCAAATAACTCTTGAAAAATAATAAAATGTATAAAGTTCTAGTTTTTATTAACAATGCTACTAAGAAAATTTGATTACTGTTGAAGGTTATTTGTATGTGAAATATATTATAAAAAGACAGGTTTATTTTTCGTATATCACGTTTAAAACCGGTTAGTTTTACATCTGCATGCTTATTATCTGTGAATTTTTTACTACCATATGCTTAATATATTGTTTTGTCTGCTAACTTGAACTTACATGCACTAAAAATCACGTTTACGGCTCATCGTGGATGAACCGCGAGCTTGGCGAGTAAAAATGCAACGGCGCCAACGGGTTCTCTGCGGATGAAAACCCGCCAAAAGGACCATTTACAAAGCTGTTCCATGTTTTGTTTCGTAACAGAACAATATGGATTCTAGGAGATTTTTGTAAATACGTTGACAAAAATTTCCAAACCTTTTCTGCAAGCCGTAAGTGGCCTTCGAAACTGAAGATTAAATTTAAATCCCAAAAACTGCAGTATAAAGAAGTAATATAAAATATTCTGCACAAAATAATTCCAGTGGAATTTACCTGAACACCATGAATAATAAAAACTTTTTCCGCTTCTTGTAGAGTGACATTTGCCATTTCGATACAGCACATGGACAAACTCCTTTGACGCACACAAGCGTCTACGGAGAGAACTTTTGGGATCATGATGTGATCCTTCCGTCTTACGCGCATATCAGTTTGCGCATCTTTTGACGTTTACAAATCCAAGTTACACTTATGACGAGATTATCCAGATTATCAAGCATTCTGCTTGATGTGTTCCGGCTGTCATCAGATGTTTGCTTTTTGGGCGCTGAAAAGAGAATAAGTTATGACTTATGACTTACTTTTTTCTGGTCATTAACTACTAAAGAGCTTTCGCCAGTAGATCGCATTAAAGTGCACTAGGCAAAGATATTTTCAAATAAATGGTACTAGGGAAGTACCAACACCCGTGGGCGAAGAAAATTCAGCTGCGTGAGCAGGCATATCTTAATATTTACGAAAGTAGGCGTTCATCATAAAAATTGTGCAGTGGTAAGCAATGGCATTAAATTGAAGCATGTAGGCAGGTTCAGTGAGTTGTATGGCAAATGCAGGTAATGAGCTCAATATAGCTAGTAAGAGTGCAGGATAAGCAATAGTGAGACATCATGAAAATGGCGCGAAGACAGTTTGAAGCTGTGAATGGCATAAGAGTTCAAAAGTCCTTCAGAAGCATGCAGTAGTTAGATAGGCCGTAAAAAGTTCAAAAGTTCGTAGAATCATACGATAAAGTAAAATTCATACAAAATAATTTAAAAAAAAATGAAATAGTAACATAAAAATCTTGAATAAAAAATTCTTGATTAACTTAAGTATAAGATGCAACACAAATAATAGGATACAGTCCAATTAGAGTTCAAATAAATTTTAAAATTAAAATTTACAAGTTACCACCATAACGATTTGTGATGAATTGTCCTTGGTCGTTTGACAGTATATTCAATGGTTAGATCATAATCCAACATTTGTTTAATTGCGTTATACTGACTATGCTTCAACTTCTCGAAGAAGTTGTGAGCTGTCATGAGTATAAAGTTATGCACAGATGGAATATCCAAGTCGTTATGAATTATAGAGTTACTCACGTACCAAGGTGCATTCACAATGCTACGTAGAATTTTATTTTGAAGTATATCCAATTTTTTGCGCTCAGTTTTATTGGCGATTGGCCATGCCGGCACTGCATATAGCATGATCGGTCGAATTAGAGATATGTAAAGCATTTTCTTTATTTTTAGACTGAGCTTCGATTTTTTGCCGATAATAGGATAAATTGCCATGTAGGGCTGCATTTGCTTTGTTTAAGATATAAGAAATATGATCTTTGAAGTTGAGAGACTTATCTATATAAACCCTAAATATTTTTATAGGAATTAGCTACAGGGATTAGAGTTCTTATCTAAGTAGATATCAGTATTAACTCTTAACCTTGTTTTGTATCTCCGATAGAGCACAATACAACAACATCAGAGGCGTTGAGCTTAATTTTCCAAGTCTTGCACCAGTGATTGATCATATTGAGATGCATTTTGTAAATTACTTACTTAGAGCGAGCTGGGGACTTCTGGATTCAGTCAGTACTACAGTGTCGTCAGCATATTTGAGTATTTTCGTGTTGAATGGGTGCGGGAAATCATTGATATAAACATTATAGAGCCGGGGGGAAAGAACGGATCCTTGCTGGACCCCGCTATGAATTCTTTTTCTGACAGATAAGGCGTCACCGCAGCGAACTTGAAAAGTCCTGTTTTTCAGATAGGAACTAATGAGTTTTACGAAACTGTTTGGAAGCATAAAATTATTCAATTTATGCAGAAGACCTGCATGCCACACTCTATCAAAGGCCTTTTCGAAGTCGAGATAGCATGCAGCCACCCCGTTTTTGAGAATAAGTTCAAAGCACGGAGTATAATGACTTTATACTCCGTGCTTCAAAGTGTGAGTCCAGAAGGGCAGGAGCTAATGGCGAAGGGGCGTGACCAGTTGTCACGTGGGCTGCAAGCTGACTTATCATTGGTTGCGAGTCTTGTGAGAAATACCTCGCTAAAATTGCAATTAAATACAGTACAAAACATATATGAAAGTAGAAATAGTAAAATTATTTTCATAAATCAGTCTTCTAAATTATTTACATATGTGTATTAGTCCACGTTCGTCAGGAGATAAACACAAGACATAAGGCACGGGAAGAAGAGCTCGTAAGTTACATGGGTGGTCACCCACCCAAGCTGAGGCTCAGACGCTTGCTGCTTGAGTTTGGTGTCGCTGAAAGTAGATACTATCGTGATCATTATTTAATAGACACTAATTAAGTGGGAAAGTCTTGATTTTCCTTAATCAGGTAAGCAGCATAAGGCCTGAGAAACCTATCTTCAGCAAGTATCTCGTAGTGAAACAAGTTAAAGTTCATAAGATGTTCACAATTTACCGCACCATTGAAGAAACTTGCATTAATCTTGCGAATAAAATTGATTTAGTGGTTCAATTTTCATGTCTCTATGCAATACTTTCGTTTCTGACATAATAGTGGGCATTTGTGCTAATCCTAAGGAACTTGTTCTGCACTTTCTGGAGTTTCTCCTATATCTTTTTCAGTGGCGGTAGCCCAGGCTGCGCGCCGCATATGTCATAATTGGTCTGATGGTACTAAGATAAATTAGTCTTTTCTTATACAGGATCCAATTTTGAAAATTTCCCTATAATTGGGTAGAGACATTTCATGACTCTTAGTGCATGGTTACGAAACATTCTCAATATGTGCAGTCCAGGTAAGTCGATTATTGATAGTTATGCCAAGATATTTCGCTTTATTGACAATTGGCACTGGTTCGTTAAACAGTAACAGTTCCTTTTAAGGGGGCATTCCTCTTTCTTTTTTTCTGACAATGAGGAGTTGGGATTTTTTGTGCATTAATCCGGACTTTCCAGCGTTTGCACCAGTTTTCAATGTAAGGGACGTTTTCCTGTAGTTTTTTAATTGCATGATTAAGATTCGCTGGCTTCACCGCGACAGCAGTGTCGTCAGCATAGCATGCAAGTATTGCATTATTATTGCAGTGGATTTTCGGGAAATCTGCGACGTAGAACAAGTAGAGTATCGGACCTAAAAACCGATTCCCTGAGGATACCACTCAACTCAGCATGATTCTTTTAGTAGAGAGGGAGTTTCCAACGGAGACTTTAAAATTCCTATTTGATATGAAAGAAAGTAGCACAAGAATGAGTTCTCTTTCAAAATCAAGATCGATCAATTTGCAAATTAGCCCCTCATGCCAAACGCGGTCGAAAGCCTTCGCCACGTCTAGCATGAGGACAGCTGTATTCAAATTATTGTGAAGTGCTTGCCCCACAAAGTCAGTAATTCTTACTAATTGCTTGGTGGTCGATAGATGTTCACGGAATCCAAATTACTCCGGTGGTAGCTTTTGGAGGTGCAATTTCATACGGGCAAGTAAAATTCTTTCGTAAAGTTTAGATAGTCCAGGCAGGAGGCTGATAGGTCGGTCGGAAACCATCTGTTTGCATATGATTTTTTCCTGGTTTGGGGATCATAATAATTTTGGCCGTCTTCCATTGTTGTGGAAAGTAAGAGTGAGTCATGCAAGCGTTAAAGATAGAAGTAATCTTGCATATAACGTTGATAGGCAGGTTTTTCATGGCAGTGTTTTGTGATGCCGTCAAGCCCCGGGGCTTTTTTGGTCTTCAATTTTTTAATGAGGGACTGAACTTCGGATGGAGTTGCAAGCTTCATTAAATTATTAGCTGTATGTGAATTAAGCCAGTCCTAGTCCTTCACTTTGGAAGAGCGTGTGCAGTTCAAAATCAGCATCGACGGGCCAGCAATTTGGCGAAAATTGATCTTCTAGGTGAGAAGCAACATGGCTGCCTTTTCTTGGTCTGAAGAAGTCGCAACCTTATTATTGAAGTGCAGTGGTCGGTTACTGGTGTACGTAGTTTTTAAATTTTTGATGAAATTCCAAAATGTACCATTTTTGGCATCCAAATTCAGCATTTTTTTTTGCCATAATTCCTCCTTATGTGTTTGTTTAATAAGTTTCTGTATTTCTTTACTGATCTTATTAATTTCCCTCTTGATTGGTGGAGACCAGGTCACGTGATAACGTTTTCTTAACCTATTTCGCTGCTGCATTAGCGAACGAATATTGAGGGTAATTTATAAAGTTTCTCTCTATCATTAATTATATCACTTGCCTCTACAGTGGCGGTTTTAATTTTACTGGTTAATGAAGAAATTTCATTTTCAATATCAATAACAGTACTCAGGCTTTTTTGAGGGAAAGAAGTCCAGTCTTTCAACAAATTTTCAAAAAGCCTCCAGTCTGTGTAAGTTCTGGTCGTATTAGTCGAGGGTTTAGGAATTCCTAACGTAGCAATTACAGGTAGATGGTCAGAGTCGAGTTCGTGAATTACATCTAATGCCATTGGAACCATTGTAGTCGCTAGAACAATATCTAGAATGTCTGATTTTCTAGCCGGTCCGGTCGATATGTATATTCACTTTGGGGAGTGCAATACTAGTGCAATACTACAGGGTGATTTGTGACATACTCATGGGTAAAATTTTTCCGTTGGCATTGCCTCTTCTACAATTCCATGCTGTATGCTTAGAATTAAAGTACCCCAGCAGCAATTCGTAGGGAAGTCTTCAGGCAATATAGAGTCTAGGAAAGTTTCAGAGAGTCGATTTCATGGTGGGTCTATACACTGCACAGAAATTTATGTCACCATACAACCGGTAAAGTAATTTGAACAGTTACAGTTTCACAATTAAAATCCGTGCATGAAATTTATGAGACACGACGGGTATTGTCTTTTGTCTTTCACATAAATCATAACACCCCCTCCTCTATGGGTGGTACGGTCACATTTGTATGAAACATAGTTCGGAACTTTGAGACGATGGCATGTTTTCGCATGAGCCTGAGTTATGCCAATGTCAATATCGTGATCAATACAAAATTGTTGGAATTCACCAATTCGATTATGGAAGCCATTCCCGCTTCAGACGATATGCAATATATTAATAATATGCCAGGTTTATGAAATGAATTTAATTAGATGAAGTGAATGTGTTAATTTCTCATTAACAGTTTCAGATACATTCAGGTCTTGAATTT